AATAATTATAAAAAATTGATGTTTAAATTACGTTCTCATTTTTATATTTTTATTTGTTATACCTTCGTAAATAACTTTCAAAAACTATCAATTCTCTGTCGATAAAAATCTTTGAACCAAACCCTCTATTCGTGAGAGTTTTTAAGAAGTTTACATCCTTTGAGTAAAGGTCTCTGAGTCAACTACAATAGATAGAAGAGACATTTGAGAAGTCCACCTACTAAAATGAAATTTAATATTTGATTATCATATTTATTTAGTTCGTTAGTCTACGATTAATAATAATTATCACTTTATATTATCAATTAGGATCACTATAAATGCACTTCAATCAAAATTATCCGGATGTCAAACATTCTGACAATCTACGCATAATCTCTCCTAATTTTTTATGGCACAATCTCTCATATAAACAATAACTTTTCATCTACTTTAAAATAATTCCTCTTGTCAGGGTCGTGACTAATTTGCCGGGAGTTATGTATAAATTTTTATAAAGGGATATTATTTTCTAGATATATTCAATTTGGGGTAATAATAGTGACGTTTTTTTGACAAACGCCGCAATAAATCCATCAGCGTTTTTTAATAAAACCCCAATAATAATGACAGTTTTTTTAAAAACACCGCAATAAATCCATATATAATGATGTTTATTGAAAAAACGCCACTATAGATTACTTTTTTGGGCCCTCGCCCATGGCAATGCCTCTTGTGATAGTCGTTTTTGAATTTTAGTTTTGTTCTCAAATTATCCAAAACGTGACTTTCATTTAAAAGTTATTTTTTTTTTCAATCAATTGAAAATTGTTATTCTAGCGCTATCACATTTTCAATTAACGAGTCATGTTATTGTCGATAAATTGAAGTGTAAGAGGCTATTTGGTTCGGGGAATGTGGGATTTCCATAGGAATAAAATTCACATTCCTTCGTTTGGTTAGCCGGAAATGTCATTTACAGTAACGTTTTATTATCAATAGTGGATTTTTTGGGAGTATATTACCAGAAATGTCATTACCTCCCTTTCTTTAGGTATTGTTGGATTACCGGCGTTTTAGACTAAAATGCCCTTAATTTTTTTCTCAAAAATATCATTCTTTTGTCATTGAATAATAAAAATTCTACGAAGGTTAAATTACAAATTTATCCTTAAACTATTTTAGATTTACAAAAAAGTCTATAATTAAAATTTTATATGAAGTTCAGGGTTAAAGTAAAATTTTACCATTTCATTAAACTTTTTTATATTTTTAATTTTGTAAACAAAATATATGAATTTTATAAATTTAAATTTTTTAAAGAAAATATATAAATATTTTCTAACTTGTTAAAAAAACAAATATATAATAAAAACAAATTGGTCAAATATACATTTCAATAATCTTTTATTCCTTTAACCAAACACGATAATTTTACATTCATGCTAAACCAACAAAACACAAAATACAACATTCTCAGTAATCTTATTCCTTAGTAATCTTTTATTCACACTGGTTATCTTACATTCCGTGAACCAAACGCACCCTAAATATTTATTCCAAAAAAAATAAATTTAGATAATAACTTGAAATAATGATATAGTTAAGGGTCAATTTATAATTATTATTTTTTCAACTTAAAGTCTACTTCTACGTAAAAAAAAAGTTTAAAACACTTCACACATAAAATTAGCGTGTATATTTATATATATATATATATATATATTACTAATAGTATGAATAAATTTGTAAGATTAAGATCGGTTCAATTTGATTATAACTGTTTTAAATATTGATAATTTGGTTCAATATATATATATATATATATATATATATATATATATATATATATTATTTCATAAACCTATTGATCTTAAGTTTCACATAATTCTTTTATTATGTAAAGAAATGTTTATAACCCCAAAATAAATATTACGATTCAAACCCATTTAAAATAAAATAATATAAATATTTTTAATCACTCAATCAATTAATAAATCTCTAAATTTCATATCTGACTCTTTGCTTATATATGAAATAAATAAATAATTGAGTTTACCAATTTGCAAAAACAACTTTCAGTTACCATTATACTCACATCCCTAAACTAATAAGATTTCACTTCAATCACAATCACTTGTTTTTATCCATAATTTTAAAAAGTTATATTTATAAAATAAATACATTTTTTGATATTTAACTTTGATATTTATGTTTAATACGATATTTAATTTTTTTGGGGTATAAATAAATAACTTTATTTTTTGTGTAATTACGTATTCAATTTGAACTTTTTTTTTGTGTGCAAATAGATACCTGATATTTAAAAAAAATTACACACGTGATTACGTATTCAATTTGAATTTCAATATCTAACTTTTAAATGTGTAGCCCATATTATTTATTAAATTAAATGATGTTAAAATAATAAGTATGAGCTAATCAAAATTAAACATGCATAATTGGAGAAAAATTAAATACCTAATTACACCAATTAATCTCCAGAAAATGATATTTAAAAAAATGATATTTTAGTATATAAAGTTTCAAACATTATAAAATTTAAATAAGATTTTATAAATCAATTTATAAAGTTTTTAAATTGATGATGTAGTATATAAATAGTATATAATATAATATTCAAACATTATAAATTGATATTTAGAATCCTATTAATTTTATAAATATTATTTAATATACTAATTACATTAATAATATATTATATATATTTTTTGTAAATTTTAGATAGTGTAAAAAATAGTTCTGTTAATTTTCATGTAATTATTTTCAATTTAATATTAGAATTGTTAAAAAAATATATACCACATAGATGATTTGATAAAATTTACTTCTTATATTATTCTAACAAAACACTTTAATTTTACATTCTTAATAAATAAATCAAACGTGATAATATAATATTCTTAATAATTTGTCAGATAATGTTATATTCTAATAATCTTATTCTCAGAGATAATTTTACATATTATGTGAATCAAATACATATTAAAATTTTACATGTAAATTTTGATATTTTTAATATAAATAAATTACAAAAATATTTTTAATTTATCTTTATTCGCAACTTATAAATAGTATAATAATATATATATATATATATATATATATATATGTTCTAATTATATACTTATTTAAAAAAGGTAGGTGGGGACAGTTTAATTCTCCAACTCTCATTTCGAATTTTCATTGGCAGTTTCCTTTTATTTTCTATTCCTATAAATAGAAGAAGAGAATAGGTTTTCCGATCAGTTGTAGCAAATCTTATACTTTTTCACAGTAAAATTTTATTTTCATTTGCTTGTGATTTTTCTATTTTAAAATTTTCACGTAAATATTAATATTTTTTATTTTTATTTTCGATCGTGTTTGTTTATTCGCATTAATCATTTCAAAAACTACAATAATTATCAATTGAAAACTTAAAATTATATATTGGAAAAATTGTTGACTCTTTTTTTTTATCTATTTGGTTTGATGACAAGACCCCCTATATGTCCTAAATTGATGGTATAAAAGCACCGAACCAAAGCACGAGGAGCGCATGCGTGAGTTGGGTTAGATGAGGGACCCTTGGCCGACCCAACTCGGATCTGCATAAATCTTTTGAAATGGGAACAAGTATTTTGTGCTGATAGTTTTAGCCGACATCTTTCTCTTTTTCACGTCTACTCTTATTTAAAACCACAATCAATGGAACCCTATTGACCCTTCGTTACCACCAGGGAATCATGCTTGGATCACCACGTTGAATTGCTCACCTTAAGAATTAGATTCTTACTATTATGCAGTTTTTTTATTATTATTAGGGTTTATGATGTAAATAAATATTGGATGTTGTAATAAGGTATGTTATACCGAGAGAACTTAACTTCAAATTTTGAGCATAATAATATTAGGTTTTTATGAATTCTGAATATGAGCGATGCAAAAAAGTGTTTATTATATTTTTTTTTGTATTTGGTTAATTGAAAAATAAGCGTTCATATTACACTTTTTTTATGTGTCTAAAGTTTTATTCCGTTTTCACTTTAAGATCATTTCGTCAACGGTGGTTAATTGTTTTTTAAACACTTTTTGTTATGATTTTTTGTAGTGTATATCTCATTCTACGCTAACTGAAACCACTCGTTGGGTACATAATTAAATCCAACGAATTATAGATATGGTTATTATGTAAAAGAAGGGGGGGGGGGGAAGGAAGCAAACAATTCAATGACAAATGGAATCGAAAATTTTATCACTTTCTTACATGCAGCCTAAGCTAGAATCTCATCAGCCGGCTTTTCATGGTTTGGGTTTGGATTCAATTGGTGAACATTCATCAACAACCAAAGCCCATCTTCAAATCTTTATGCCATACCCCTTCTCCTAAGGGTACAAAATGGGTTTTACTCCCACTTAATTAATTAAGGTCAAATTGTAGTCTTGATCCTTTGACTATATTCAACTTTTAATTTTAATCTCTATACTTTGATTTGACATAATTTGATCAAAAATGAACTTAAAATAAAGGGTGAAAGGAATGAGAAAATAATGAAAGTTGAGAGATTGAATTGAAAAATAGAAAATTTGTTAAAAAAATGGAATTGAAGATGCATGTTTATTATACAATGATTTAGAATCATATGATTCAAATTTAATGAAAAAAATGAACTTAAAATGAAGTATGAATTGAAAGAATGAGGGAATCAAGGATCAAATTACAAAACTGAAAAAATAATCAACTAAATTTTTAGTTTTCAATTGACTTAAAATTGTCAAATTCTACCTTGAATCGAACTCGATAATTTGAGCTAACTCTAATAATTCGAATCAAATAACTCAAAAAAAATGAATCAAAGCTTTACTTACTTAGAAAAATATAAAGACCAAATCTCAAATTTGAGCATAGTAGAGGGGCGGAAAATAAATTTGAGCATATATCATGCTTGAATGGTGGGACCCGAATAAGGGACAAACGATGATATGGCTCCAACTTTTTTGTCTCATTTTACCGGCCACTTACCAATAAACGCAGCGAACTCTTATCCTCTTTACTCCTATTCTGAAACCCGTTCATGGCAGACCCAGGCCAACCCACCACGCTCACCAAAGACCGTAATTGTCTAAAACACCCTTGCGATGCTGGGTTTTTCTCCGACGCACACCCTTTCGACACTCCAAGCCTTGATGAAGAAGATTCCAACGATCCACCACCCGCTTCTTATTCTCTCGACTGCGACTCGGAATGTGATTCGACTCCGTTGATTGATCTTCCGAAGAATCATCGGGTGTTCTCTGATTCGATTCTCAGGATGGAGATGGTCAAGGCAATGGAAGCCTCGAGGTGTGAGGCGGAGAAACGGAGGGCGGAATCGGAGGCGGAGTTGACTCGAATGATGTTGTGGACTCAGTCCCGGATCGATTCGTTTGTCGCTGGAGATGGAGATAACAGGAAAAGGAAGCGTGGAGCGGATGACGAGTCAAGGGACTCCTCCGTTAGGTAGCTTTTGCCCATATATTTACTGGTCTAATTTCTGCAATAGTCCCTCTACTACTTCGAAATTCAATACTTTAATATTTTGTTTGATTTAGTTTGATTTCTATACTATTAATGTTAATAGCAATAACAGCTGTCGATATAATCAATTTTTATATACATTAGTAATAGTATTAAAAGCAGAGAATCAAGTTATTCCAACTTTAAGGGATTAGATGCTTAATTTTCAATATACTAGGACTAAAATCATAATTAGACTAGTGATATTGAGCTCAGTTAGATTTGTTGGTTAATGCAGACAAGGAGCTTTGCTGATGAGCTTGTTCCAGTGCAACTTAATCTTCTGAAGTTCCAGTAAAATTAATAGACTACTCTTTGGTTTATCTATCAAAGTTGGTGGTGACAATAAAGCTGTGATCTATATCTCTATGTAATGAAACCCCAATTATATTAAATGAAAAATCTATGAACATGGGACTGAATGCAGATGGCAGATAATCCACCTACACTGCTGCTGTTGATTGCGAAGATAACGAATCTAAACGAGGTTTTTTCTGCTCGGCGGCATTGAGTAGAGCCTTTCTTCAGTTAATGGCACTTTTTATGTATTCCTCGAAAGGTGGGAGAGATGGTTGTTCTTTGTCGTTCTTTGCCTGTCCTCGAATCAGCTGTCGGAAGCCATGAATGAATGTAAATGGTAAATACTAAATACTAGATGGTATGCATTAGATCAAAACATATTTGATACTTGGGGTTGGATAACTAACCTTTGATGCCCATGATCGCTCAGCTTGTTGGCATACATCCCGGATGTCCCTACCAGACATTCTGGATATTTCGAACGGTAATCCTCGGTTATGATTTGAATGATGCATATAGAACAAAACATCCATAACGTACTCTTTAAGAAATTTGAATCACAAAATGTTGGGCTTACTTGTCAGTGACTCGAGCAAATTCAGCTAACTCTGATTCTGTAAGGTGCTTTGCATAATGAGCTGCTATTTCCTGCCGGTTGTGCTCATCAGGTAGACCGAAGACAATCACTGAATCGAAACGACTGCAAACACAAATGTACGATACAGAAAAATTTAATCAGATTAGTCTCTCCGAAAGGGACCGGGACTGCATCTATTAGTACCTAATCAATGCTGGATCAAGATCTTGTTTTCTATTTGTGGTTGCAATGACAACTAATTTCTTGTCCTGTTCAAATCCATCAATCTGTGCATCCAGAAAACTTGATTAATGTTACTCATGCAGGATAAAGGCATAATCAGATGTTCATGAACAGGCAAGCTGAGAGGTGCATTTTTCATTAGAAATAGAAACCACTCGAATATCAACTTTAACCTGTCGCAATAACACCGACAAAATCCGACGTGTAGCTTCATGAATTTCACCACCACGAGCAGTGGCAAAGGAATCAACCTGAAATACAAGTCGTCTTATCAACAGTCTAAAACAAATGAAATGCAAATTGATGATGGTGAAAAAAAGGAAACTAGTGGTCCATATATAAACGGGAAGGCTTTGTTGATTTATCACTACTTGCTTCATCTAAGAATATGATAGCACCATTGGGGAGCTTATTGGCGAGAGAGAACACTCGCCCCAGTATGCGTTCACTTTCACCATAGTACTTTGACATGGCAATCTCTAGTGGTACATAGAGCAATGGGACACCCTGCAAAGCATGAACATGCTTCATATCGTTACACATTCGAATAAAACAATCTCCTATAGAAACTACCATATTTGTATGAGTTATTCTACAAAGTATACTATACTAAGCAATAAGAACTATTTTAATATTTAACTAAAAATTATGTTTTAGTCATCAATATTCTAGATAAGAAACTTGCTGCTCACCGCCTGATTAGCAATAACACGAGCACAAGATGTCTTCCCTGTACCTGCAATATGTAAAATTTTGACGAATCAGCTCAAAATTGCATTTCCAGGAACTTGAATCAATATTTCTTTATGGGTTTAAAAAACAAACCAGGAGGTCCTTCAAAGAGCACAGCTCTGGGTCTATTTGACTCGAAATTTTGGCGAGTCCCACGTGCAATATCATCATATACTTGAGGGCTATTTAGAGCCAGCAAAATTGTGTCTTCTATGTCTCTGGAAAAAGAGCACAGCTCTGCGTAATCTATGTTTGACCGAAAATGGAAAAAACAAAGTCTATTAAGTCTTTTACTTACCGTTTTTGTTGATCATACCCAGCAATATTGCCCCATGATATCTCACTGTATGGTTTATTCCGATGTGGCATATCAAGTCCATAAATTCTTACTCCCATGGCCCTCAGGCTAGAGATTGATTTTTGTGCAGGCATCTGTGCAGATCCGGTCCTTGGTTTGTTTACCACAGAGCTACTTTGTGCAATCTTTCGACCAGTGAGTTCTAAGGCAGAGACCAAGGCATCAAGCTCCTTTTGATTCAAACTTCCTTGCTTTATAAACTCAATTTCCTATGATAATTTGAACGGTTAAACAGTTACTCTGTGAAACATAAAGAAAATAATGCACACTCATACTAAAATATTGTCAGAAGCTGTAAGAAATTAAGACCAACCGCTTTGTCGGAGCTTATCAGTGAACGGAAAATGAGGATGCATAAATCCCCTTCATCTCCATTCCTATATACTGAATGCCCCTCGTTTACTCCAGTTTCCTTATGTTTCTCCGGTGGTTTAAGCGTCAGCTGCCAGGCAACTGAACTGAAAACAATAAAAAGGTTGGAACTTTACATAATTTTAATGCCAACATAAGTGCAGCTTTAGGTTAGGTTTAAAAGGAACTTTAACATTCACAACCTGTCCCATGCACGCAATAGCACATCCGAACCACCACCACGCTCTTCAACCTCCAGTCCGAGATGTGAAACAAGGTTCGCAATCAATTGTGCAACTTCACAACCATGAGGAATCTGGAACTTGATTGTAACCTATAACAAGTTTACTCCTATTAAAAATACTTAAGTTGAGCAGAAATACCATTAATCCAGTTATACACGCAAAACCAGTTTACAGATGAGAATTAGCAGTGAAACATGCTTTCCGAAAATAAACTAACTGATTTAACCAAAAAAAAAGAACACTATAAATCATCAGGAAGAACAAACAGATCATTAGGATCATCACCATGAACCTCCCCTTCTAATCCATGAATGAGACTATGGCATCCTAGGAAAACAAACAAATAAATAAAATGAAACAACCTTTTGGCCCTTGACAGCAACAGTAAACCGAGGATAAGAACCATATCTAATTCCTTTATCTTTAAGCCTCTGCGCAATGCGCCGCTTCTCTTTCGTGGCAGTTTCCTCAAGGTTGACATGACTAGCAGGAGGTTTCAATGGAAGAGGAGGTTTGGAAGAGACCTGCAAAAAGCTAATTCCACTTCAAAATCAATTCAAATAATGCAGCTCCAATCCATCATAACAAGTATAAGCTTACGATACACATTTGGGGAAACACTTGGATTAGTATTGAGCAAGACAAAACATGCATATACTCGATAATAAGACGTATAAATAGCACAAACCTCATCAGCATCAGCGTACGCTGTCTCTACTATTCCTGCTCCAAGCAAACCGGCCAAGATAGCTGGAAGTATAGAGTATGACCCTGAAACAGCAGCCAACAACCTTAGCTGCTGGACATCAGATCCGATTGTAAAATTTGAGCCTTGAGGGAAACCTGTAAACACAATAATAAGAATAAATTCTCAAAATATCAAAATGGAAAATACCAGGGATTTAAATAGCGATCGAGTAATAGAATAACGGCAGTTATATAGTAGTAGCAGTGCCGTCCGAAACCACTAGCGGCGTGAAGCGGAATCATACCAATAATGGTGGATCGCGGCCATAATTTAATGAGTAACAGTCAATTGTGGCAATAGCGGCCCCTATTCTCATTATTGTTAGTTGCCGTAAAATTTTAAAAAAATCCAAAGGTTTGTTGCGGCAATTAAAATTATTACGTTTTATATTAGTTTGTTGCGATTTTAGGAAAAACTCATGACCGTCATGCTTGTAGTGACAGGAATAACATCCTGCAACCGCCGCAACGCGACCGAAAATATAACCGCAACCACAATTTTAATCCCAGGAAACTACAACCCACAATGATATAAACATTCTATTTCCAATTCCCGGGTTCAAATCTTATGGCAACATGGAGAAAACACCATCAGTCCAACAACTCATAAGTCAACAAAGAAGCATTCAATTTATGCACAACCAAATTAAGAAAAAAGGACCATTGGAGAAGAACAACTATAATCATCACGAAACCAATCAATTTTTATACGGATCAACTTCCATTAAACTATGCTCCAAAACATCAACATCAGGCCATTTCTAATGATTAGAATCTTGATTCCTTAATTTCCCATCGCCAAGGTCTTGAAACACTTACAAATAAAGAAAAGAAGAGATAGAAGACACTTACGGTGGCAGAGAGGGGGAAGGAGATGAGTTGAGGGAGAAGGTGAAGTGGTTGGGGTTAGGATTTTAGGAGAGGCGATCTTTTGCCATGAAGGAGCAGTGGTAGTGAGGAGTCGCTTCAAAATTGCCATTGGAGAAAAATTATCCGTACTACTTTCTTGGAATAACAGGAGACAGATATAACAGGTTAATACAAAATAAAGTTGTAATCTTAATTATTATTAATTATATAACTTTTAAAAAAATATAAAATACAGACCTTGAATCTTTTAACCAGCAAAATTAAAGAAATATAATTAAAAAAAAGGGAAATGTGGATCTAAAAATTTGTTTAGAGATTTGATTTTACTCCAAATCTTTAAATATATATATTTTATTTTTTATATTTCTTTAAAATTTTAATTAGATTTCCTTACTTTTGCTCTTAAACTTTTCTTATCTGTTTATTTAAAACAAAGAAACGACAAACTTATGAAAATATTTTATCTTTCATAAAAACTAGAAAACTGCTCTTCTTAAAAAACCATTTGGATATTTAAATAAATTTATTATAATTATCAAGGTCATTTTAAGTAATGATAATTTTGATAAAAACAATTTTTAGTAAAAAAATATGTTTAATTATTTTTTTAAAAGATCATAAAACTATAAACAATTCATAAAAATTCTACACTTAATCTAACAAATTTATTTTATACATTTTTGTTTTTATTTAAAAAAGCAAATTTACAATTTCGAAGAAGATATAAGTTTTTTAGAAAGTGAATTTTTGAGATTTTTCGAAAGTGATTAATTTTCATTAACGACGTAGTAGTTAGTACTTCTCAATCTCATCCGAGAATTTTTGCTTCTAATTTGTAAAATTTTTAAATCTTAAAAGGAAAAATACCAAAATGACTATCCAAAACGCTTGAAACTCAACTACAAGAACAAGTCCAATAGCATATATAATTGGTTCTTACAGCTTTAAAATTCATAGATATAAGCCAATCCATGGGTCCAAAAACCTTAAAAAAATTCAAAACTCGAAGGAAAAAATAAAACAAGAAAAACATACTACAAGGTTTGATTTGCTATCTCTAGACATTTGAGCTTTTTTTCTACTAAGCTTGAGCACCGAGTTCAAGGAGCAGAGTGTGGTTAACTGCATTGGAAGATGGCCCAACAAATTGAATAGGACCTGAAATACATCGAGGACAAAGTTAAAGACAAATTACAGTAAAACCTTAAAATATTGCATTTAAAGCCACGAAACCAACCAGGACTAATGTAGCAGTTCTTAAGGGCCCATTCCTCCCGCATGGAAGCATATTTCTTGTACGGTGCACCTGCATAATCGTCCCTTGCGGCGTCATGATTTTGAATAGAGTATAATAAACAACATTACCAAAATAACAAATCTGCAAATCTTACCGTCCAATTCTACCATTGCCTTCTTGATAACAGGCTTGAATTTACCTGCAAACCATTTCAATGTCGATCTAGCGCTCGAATTTGAGAAGAAATTAACCGAAAGATACGTGCATATGAAGGCAAGATAATTTCTCAAGACTGTCGTTTAGTTTTAGAAGAGAAAGACTACAAAGTTGCATCACCATTAAATGGTGTATGTTTTTGTAGGTTTAATTTACTCGTTAAGTGTATTCTAAAATTAACAGAACAAGATGTGAACCTACAAAACACAAACTAAATGCATGATATGGGGTCAAGTGCATTCTAAAAGTGTTCTTCGCAGGATAAATTAGCAAAGGAAAAAAGAAATGGAAGTTCTAAAGAAAAAGTTGATTGAAGTGATAGGCTGAAGAGCAACTCTACCATGTCTCCTCTCCACGTCCATCATTGATGTAAGAGCAGTCCCTCCAACAGTCCATTCTTCTACTGGGGCACACAAATTTCCAACCTGTTGACATTACAATGTGGAAATAAAAAAACAAAAACAAATAGTGCATTAAATTTAAATGGCCATTGAATATCAACGCAGAAGGAAAAGGGTTGGATGGTGGCAAGAAGGAAGCGAAATGGATGAAAACAAACCGATGATATCAATCCAGTTTTTCCACTGTGGAGGAGAGCTCCAGCACCATAGCCCAAAGCATAGCAGTATGAGGCATCAAAGTTAGTTGGCAAACCACACCTTCCTTCATAACTGAAAATTATAAAATGAGATAGGGAAAGATGTCATCAACATGAACCAAGTTATTGATCCAATAAGAAACACACTTTATGGGTCAAGTCACTCAGCACAAGGTTTAAAACCTACAAAAATACGACATTTCTTAGCAGATTGTGATTAGTACCCAAAGAAGTGTGACTGTCCTTTAAAATCAGCTTTATAGGAACCCAAAGAAGTGTGACTGTCCTTTAAAATCAGCTTTATAGGAACCTTCCTGCTTCCTCTCCTCTAATTCTGTTTCAACCATTTGAATGAGCATTTTCTCTGTTTCTATTTTGGCAACCTGATGTATAAAAAGAAGAGAACTCAACATTGTGAATTTGGAAGCCATGAAATACTTAAAGAAAACAAAGATAACCAGAGGAACATCATTACAAGGTACCTGAACATTTCCATGCGGATCCCTTTCAAGCATCAATTGTTCTTGAATTGCTTGAGGTAAGAAATCAAAAAGCTTTAGAGACTGATCGGTAAGTTTCTTTTTCCATAGGCCATCTTCATCAACAATGTCATGTGCCAGAATTTCATTTAGTTCAGCAATAAGCTGCTGGACCTGGAAGCACACAAAAGCGTGCATATCAATCAAGTAGTACAAATGCAGGTGTTTGCAAATAGAAAAGCATTACATTTCCCAACTATAAACCATTATGAGAATGAAATAAATAATCTGATAAAAATAGATTAGCTGATGATTAACAGTACCTCAGGAATGAAATCAATGAGACCTTCAGGAATGAGAATAACACCATAGTTGTAACCAAGTTCAGCACGTTTGCAAATGACATCAACCATGTAGTCTGTTACGTTTTTAAGTGTCAACTTCTTGGCAGCAACCTGCAACAAAATATACATTGATCAACTATGAATCTGTACAGAAAGCTTTTTATCAAGTATCTTCAGAATCTGTTACTTGGACTTGGTGATGATAATGGAAATGTGTGTGCATCAGACATAAGTATGCTGAATTTTAATTTTTTTTTATTGTTTTGGAGAATCATACCCTTGTACACATATCCAATTATGTAACCACTAAGGGTAACATAGCCCATACAAACTTTTGCCAACCATTTATCTTCAAGAGACAGAGAAATAATCACAGGATAGCAAGAGACAGAGAAGCCATTTCTATCCTAACCTATCTTGGAAAGGACACACACAAGTGTTTTACCAGTATAAATGAACACGACAGTTCAAAAAGTAGTCAATCACACACGCAGATATATATACACATTTTCAACAGGTTCATGTAATTTGAAAGCTTTAAGCACTTACAGTGGTAATATTTTCCAGTTGATCGTGCATCAATCATTACATTCCCAATCATTTCAGCATATATCTATATGAAGATAAGTAACCATGAGTACATATCCAACCAAGTAACATATACAGCAAAAGGGTCTCCAAGAACAACTTGCAAAAATGATAGAAACTGTAATTAGAATTATAAAATGTGAATGCAAATATAGCCTTACCTTGCAAGCAGTATCAAACCCAAAACTTGTGGGAACCTCTTTGCATTTCAAATCACCATCGATGGTTTTTGGGCACCCAATCACTCGAGTTTTCAAATTTTTACACCTAATAGATAAATTGAATAAACAAGTGAAGAAATAAGGTAAACTATATATCAGCATATTATATGTCAACAATTAAAATTTTCTCTAACCGTACCTGAAGTTTTCAGCAAGAAGGCAAGCATTTGTGTTTGAGTCATCCCCACCAATAACAAGAAGCCCATCCAAATCAAGCTTCGCTGCTGTTTCTTCAGCTTGCTTAAACTGAAAATGGTACCCACATAAATCAGCCACTATTAGTTGATAAAAATTAAATAATTAGAATGAATTACAGACATAATGTTACCTGCTCAGGAGTTTCAATCTTGTCTCTCCCACTACATATCATATCAAAGCCACCCTGATTATAATAAATAAAGAAACACAATTGTTAGGACTTAGGACCTTTGCTTTAAGGGTCAGCACAAATGTTGTAATGGACAGATGCAAAGTTAAAATCAGTCAGCGTGAGACAAATGAAACATAGGCGTGCTAATATTGGCCATAACACAAACCTATAATGTAGGTGACATGACATATATCCATGCCATGATCTTTTACACTGATTAAATTTTCCTTGTCAGAAAGAGTTAAATTAAGTTGAGGCTATGTTACCATATACTCGCGCCAACAGTTTACAAGATAATAATGTAGAAATTCCAAAACAATCAAAATCCCCAACAGCAGCAGTTACTACCAGATAATGAATACTTAAGTATGCACTGCTAAAGGCTTCATTTAGTTTCTTTCTCTACTTACTTTTTCGTCTTATTCTGCAAAAACTATACCTGGTTTCTGTAGGGGTAAATATAATCTGCACTCAATTCTATGTATTTTCCCTTCATGATCCCGGCAGGACCTCCCCTAAAACCATACAAAATGCTACCTTTCGCGCGCTCCTGCAAGTAATCTGCCATTACAAAGAAAGAAAGAAATCATTTTACTTCCTTTAGCACAAGTATCAAAATCCTAAAATAACATGCAATGTTATTGAAACAATGTAACTGAGAAAAAAGACTAACCAAAGATTCCAGAAATCACATTGTGGCCTCCAGGTGCCTGCCCTCCAGATAAAACGACACCGATCTTCAACTTCTGATCAGATCCAACACTGTCAACTCCGTTTGGCACTAGCATTGCCGAGGGTTGCCCGAACATATTCGGAAATAGCTTCGCGATCTCATCTGCCCCACCAAAAAAAGAAATATTTTATTTAAATTTTAAAAAGAGCGGTATTCCAGTTCAGTCAACTGAACCAAGACGATTGTTTACCTGCGTGATTATGCAGATATATATATATATATATATATATATAATATATATATATATAATATATATATATATATATATATATATATAGAGAGAGAGAGAGAGAGAGAGAGAGAGAGAGAGAAGATGGATCGAATATTAAAAAGGTGAATAAAGAAGTGAAGAGAGAAGATGTAATAACCAGGGTTGCCGGCAGCAGAGCTAGGGGGACCATCGACGATTTTGAAGGGGTTTCTAAGAACAGAAGGGAGAGGAAGAGCGTGATCGATGCGATTCGTTTGAACCTCACTGTAAACGGCGGCAAACCGTCCGGATACAGGAGATGATTTAACGGCGGCGACATCGCCGTTGTAGACTAAAGACGGAGACATCTCTTTTTTTAACTTGAGAATTTGGTGGCTATACCTAAACTCACTGCTTTCAGTGGCGAGTGAATCGACCAGATTTGTCCTGGGTCATTTTTAAAGTCAAATAAAATAGTAATAACGTCATTTTACTTCAGTATATACAGCGCTTGGGGGACTCTGCCACTGTAAAAGGTATTTGTTTGCTCATTGAAATCGGTGGTATTTTTGGAATTTAACCACGAAACGACAATGGATCACGTAGTTTCAAGGTCCAGTAAGCAGTAACTAATGAAGTCGGAGCAAAAAAGAAACTGATCCAGGCTACTACCCATAGTTTTTAAGATATATGAAAAAAATATAAATATTAAATATTTATCAAAATTATGTGGTAATTATTTATATATTAAAATTGTACAATTACATTTAATTAAAATTATTATACTTAAATCTACAATATAAGAAAATAATTAATTGAATGTAAAAATCTAATTCTATATCAATTCAGGAAGTATTCATTTAGTGTACTAAAAGATTAATTAATCTCTTAAAAGACTAATTAATTCTATATCAACTCACGAAATTATTATACTAAAAGATTAATTAATGACATGATAATTTACTAATCTCTTAAAATATTAAAATATTTTTTTTGGAAAAGGGGAGAGTTTTTATGATATTATAAGGAAATACATACAAAACCATCAAACGATCGAGCTTCATTAAAAAATATCGCTAATCTTATAAAAGATAATTATTGGTTTAAAATTTACTTTTTTATCATAAAATTTATCTTGTTCTTATCAGTTAGTAATTGAATTAATAAAATTAGATGCTTAGATTATTTAAGTAAGATTAAATATATAAAATGATATTTTAAATAAAAGAAACTGAATTGAATGAACTAATAGGATTAAATATATATGATTATAAAAATTATTTTGTTCTTTAAAATAATAAAAATGAATGTTTGTTTAATTTTATATTGTTAAATTTAATTTAATTCTAATTCCACTCACACATTAAGTGTGATGTATTCTATACATACGATCATACTATAAATATAGGAATTATCAACTTTTGGCTAGTTAATTACATCATATGTCCTAAACTGTGATTCTCATGTTAAATTGGACCTTAAACATTTGAACATCCTAATTTCATCCATAAACTATGCTTTCATTTTAAATTAGTCCCCAAACATTTGAACATACTAAAATCATCCCCAAACTTAGGGATGGCAAAAAAACCCGAACCCGACGAGGAAAACTGAATTAAATAGGGATGGGGAAAAATCGTTTATGTTAAACATGGACGGAGACGGGGAAAAATCATTTATGCTAAACGGGGACGGGTTTGCTAATCCCCGCCCCGATTACCCGACCCGATAAATATTAAAAACAATTATTATTATATATATATATATAATATTAATTAATTTAATTTAATTTAATATATATATATATATATAATATTTATATATCTAATTTAAATATATATGCCCGGCCCGATACCCGTTTAAATAACCGTTTATGCTAAACGGGAATACCCGTTTCTCCACGATTTTTCCTGATTACCCGATGGGGATCCCCGTTTAAATCCCCGCAGTTAGTTAAGCAGAGACGGGTACGAGTTTTTTAAACGGGGACGGGGGACCAATACCCGACCCGTTGCCATCCCTACCCAAACTATAACTCTTGTTCTATATTGATACCCAAACTTTTAAATGTTCTAATTTCAACTTTGATTTTTTAATGATTCAGGGGGATATTATTGGAATGCTCAAAAGTTTGGGGACTAATTTAGAATAAGGGTCATAGTTTGATGATGAATTTGGAATGTTCAATAGTTTGGGGACCAATTTAGAATATTAGTTATAATTTATGGATGAAATTAGAATATCCAAAAGTTTAGGGACCAATATAGAATAAGAATCATGGTTTGAAGATGTATGGTGTAATTAACTCAATTTTGGTGGATGGAAAGATTGTATCATTACCTAACCCTAACAGTCATCTTGATTTGGTGGGAAAGCATATTCGCATATTCCATTATTAGATTAATTTATTCATAATAGGCAAAAGTTTCTATCAGTCCCATTACCAATTTACCATCGTAAATTATAAATTTAATATATATATTTATTTTAATTATTTTAATTTTAAAACTTTATTTAATTTAAATAATGATTATTAAATTTATTAAATCAAATTTAGCTGTTAGTCTCTGTATATTTAACTTATATTTAATATTTTAATCATTTAAAATCTGTATAATTTAATTATATTATTATTATTTTACTTAAATTTGAAAAGTTATGAAATGCATAAAATTAAAAATAATTAAATTAAGAGTATAATGCCAATGTTTCTTCTCTTCTACGGGTTCTCTGGTTTCCGAATAGAATCCAAGATGGTTAGGGAAACTCTTTCCTTTTTGGTGTGAGGCTTTATTTATTTATTGTATAAATTATTGGATCAATCACTTTTCTTTTATATTTATATAAATTTTCTCATTATATTAAAAAAGTTATGTTTCAGTCACTTACATTATTGATTTATTATATTTATTGTGTAAATTAGTGGATTAATCACTTACGTTGTTAATTATTATATTTTGGTTATTCATTAACTCATGTTAGTTTGATTATGTGTCATGTTTGTTAAAAAGGTTAATTTTTAATTTGACCCCCGAATTTTAAACAAAGCATAAAGAAGGATGCATAAAAGAGATTCTATCCAGCTCTGCAAAATCTTTGTTTGATTTTCTCAATTAGGTCCTTATATCAACCTAATTACAAACCACCTCAATTCAATTAATCTAATAATTAGCGACCTAAAAGAAGACTTGTTGAAAAGCAAAGATCATGATTTGTTCTTAAAATAATTCCATCTGATTTACTATTGTCCATGGTTTTTCAATAGTTTTTTTGTGGTTCATTTATTCGATTCATTAAGATCTATTTGTATCTATTTTTATTTGATTTTTTTTGTGTTTTTAACATTCTTCTTGTATGATCATTGTATGATATCGACTAGTTTTTTGTGTCAATAGTTATAAGAATATGTCCTAATTGTATGTTTAATTTACGTTTATGATTGTAAGTATTCATTGTAATTTTAAATATTTATCTTTTCAAATAAAACTAGCGTCTTCTATTTACATAAAAAAAAATTAGAGGTCATATCTTTGTATTCGTGTGTCAAAAATAAATATTCAACATATATATATTTCAAGAAAATAAAAGATGTGCAAGTCCATATCATGATCACAAGTTCATTTTCATAATACAAATGTTCCCACATACATTGTCTCAAACCCAAGACATAATCATGCTCAAACTGACCCAACTTGCCTATTAAACCCAAATGATTACTTTTCCTTGAAAGAACCATGTCTCCATGCTCTGAAGATGAAAGCCTCTAAACAGCATAAGAAGCGCAGAGGTTGGTGTTGGTGCTGTAGTTGCTGTCGCAGGCTTGGTGTCTCTTCCTCAGACGAAGCAGAAAGCTCGGGTTCCGACCGGTTCTCATCGGTTTCAAGCCTTTTACTAATGTGTCCCTAATTAATATTTTATCTAAAGTTCAAGAGTTAAACTAAAAATTAAACCTTTACTAATGTGTTACATCATCAAACTAACGGAAATCAATGTTTCAGTGATCACGTCTTAATTAAAATAAAACGAAAGTGACTATGTATTATGTTTTTTGAATCCAGTGACTATACGTTTATAGAACTCAAATAAAAGTGACTAAATATGTAGTTTACCCTAAACTTAAACAGCAATAATAAGATTATCATTGATATTCCTTTAAAAATAACAGCATCAAAATTTTAAATCTACATAAAAACCAAATGCATAAAATTTTCTTTTATAATATTGTTAACCTATATTTTTTTGTTATGTTTATAATATTAATTATAAATTTAATATCTAAATAATATAAACAATACAAATGTTAAGGGACTAAAAATGCACTAAACCCTTTTTTAATCATAAAATGATATATATATATATATATATATATCAACTTGACTTCAGCTTCAAGCTGCAAAGCCCGCTGTCTCCGTCACCTTCATGTTCCTCGTGGGAGGTGAGGTTTACAGCTAAACTAACCAACAAATATAATCAAGCTTTGCACCTGCTCCCATAATTTAAATCATATGGGTCCCTCCATATTTATCCTCATGGATGGACCATGGGCGGATATAAATGATCATCTTCTTAAAATTTTAAATTTTTATTTGTTTTAAATATATTTTTATATTTTTTTATTAAAAATATATTTTCAATTTTCAATTTTTATAAGTTTATCTATTAATATAAAGTTATGCGCCCGCCTATGTTTATCCTTTCAATAATTTTAGGGTAAATTACATCATTGGGTCATTCAACTATAAAAATTTCATTTTCATCATCAAAATAAAATTGCAAACAAGCTACTAAGCTTAGGTTTCATTTCAATTTTAATCCCTATATTTAGATTTCGTTTTTAATTTACTCACTCATGAGTAGTTTTTATTATCGATTCATGTCATCACGATTGGTGGGAAAAATTCAAAGTTTTCGGGTCCCAAAAAAACTTCACCAAATCACATAATCACTACTTCCAACTCCTATTTTGTTAAATTACTTACAATAAAATATTTTAAATATTTTTGAAAGAGTTAAAGTTCAAATTAATTTTATTAATTGTTTATGAAAAACTATATTTTTTTTGTAAGCAACATATTTTCAAATTGGGTATAATTTATTATCTTTCTGTTTGGATGTTCCTTTAATTTATTAGTTTAACTATGTATGGTACAGGAATTATTAAAAAATATATATATTTAAAATAATGTGTAAATTTTAAATTAATTATGATTTTTTTTTAATTTTAGGTAGATTTTTAATATATATATATATATATATATATATATATATATATTATTTAGTATAATATCAACATCCACTTGATTATGATAAACTCCATTAAAGAAACCTAAAAATATATTTTTAACTGTATAAAAATCATTTAATTATATTGTTTAGTTATTTACTTATTATTGTTTTAATCTAAATTTGGTGACTTAAATAAAAACAAACCTTAAGTTTGATAAATTTTTAGTGTTTGTTTTATTTTTATTAATCAAAATGAAAATATTTTATAATTGATCGAAAAACTAACGTAGTTCACCCATAATTTATAAATGCATGATATTTTTCTTGGGTAATATGAATATATAGAACAAGAAAGGCATTTATATTTTTGATTAAAAAAAAGAAAAACAATTATTTTGGTAATAATTATTACACGCAAAATGAAACGATTGGCGAACGAAGACCTCCGCCGCCTTCAGCTACCATTTGATTTTGGATTCCTTTCTGCAAAACTCTTTGTTAAGTTATAGGCTGAAGACTATAACTCTGCAAAATTGAATCAAAACGCAAGAGGTGAGATTCTCTTTATTGAATGTTTCAAGTAATATCTAGTTGTTTTCTGGGTTGTCTTTTCCATTTGCAAAATCCGTGTCAACAAGAAAAAATGAGTCAACTGAGTGTGATATTTGCAGGGAGATAGTGAAGCAAGAACCATGGACGGTGTAGATAAGGAAAGGAAGAGGAGGAGTTTCAAGGAATGGCTGGGATTTAAGGTCATGGGATGTTGTGGGTCTAACTGGGGTTTCGGGTCAACGACCTTGAGTCTCAGGGACGAAGATGAAGTTGAAATAGAACAAGTACCAGCAACGAATTCGGATCCAGGGGTTACATCGCGGTTGGTGGAGGCGAACGGCGGAGACAGGGCGGAAGAAAAAGAGAAAGGGACAAGCGTGGAACCGGGGAGTGATTCGATATGCTGCGTTTGCATGGAGAGGAAGAAAGGGGCGGCGTTGATCCCGTGTGGACACATTTTTTGCAGGGTGTGTTCGAGGTTGCTGTGGGTGAATCGAGGGTCCTGTCCCCTCTGCAACCGTTCGATCCTCGATATTCTTGACATTTCTCCTTGCAGCCGTTCGATCCGCCAGATTCTTGACATTTTCTAATACGTCTTCTCTCTTTTTGACGTTTGTTAATGGCCGATCAATACAGAACATGTCGACGAAGATGGTGCTTCGAGATCGTAGGATAATGGAGAACGAGGACAGGAACCCGAATGAGCATAATAAAATCAAAATCAGATTAGGATTATGTTCAATTGGGCCAGGCCTTGCTGTAATTTGTGTGAAGGGCATATTCAATTGTGAGAAAGGATTATAAGAAACATTTATGTATATTTGAATGTTATTTTTATTTAAATTATAATAATTTTTTTATTTTTATTAATTTATGGTAAATATAAAGTAGTATATGTTCGAAGATAACTCTCAATTATTTGACATTGAATGCTACGACGTCTTTTGATCTATTCTCACCAACCTTTTTCTTTACTCTTGCATAAAAAGACTCTCGTCCTTCTTTTACTAGTCCATAAGCACTAAAATGAAATGCAAATCAAACGCCACTTCAAAGAAAGTATTCACATGAATTTAGAAACATATAAATGCCATAAATAAAGCTTACACCTAAACTCTCTCAAAACTCTATATAGCTTCACACCATCTTTAATGGAAGATGGTGAGCCTATTTTGAAGCTCTTGAAATTCCAGGAACGAATACTACCTGTATTATCTTGAATGATGAATCAAGATGATGAAAATGAGTCATCTAAAGGTCTATAAATTTAGAGTTGCTTGGGACAAAATTTGGGGAAAGAATGAAGAAAGAAAAGATGAATGAAAGAGGTGATAAGGAGAGACGGAATCGTGCAGCTGACTTAAGGAAAGCAATGGCAGTATTAAAGAAAGTTCCAGGTTATAGCTTCACTCCTTATGAATTCTAATTAAAATATTAGAGAATCCACTCTTGGATTTGAACTTAGATTGAATATTCCCTTAGAAAAAAGAATTTTCTCTTTATTTGAATATAAATTTACAACGAAGATGCAAACAAATCAGCATGCTGAGATTTACACATGAAAGACAAATGAAAATCAAGCTTGCTTGACTTTATATAATATACATACAAATGTATATATCGATGACAGATTGAAGGAGAGCGGATGAGAGTAATTGCTCTTTAAAATTTTCAAATTTTCTTGTATTTTAAATTATTTTTGTGTATTTTCTATAGATAATATTTTTTTAGTTCATTTTTTCCCTAAAATTTTATAAGTTTACTCTTTACTATAATTTTATAAAGTTATTTGTTAGAATAAAATTATATATATAACTTTCCATGTGAATGGAAGGATTTCAAATATTGCATTAGTGGTGTCCATATGGAGGCCAAGCAACATTGTTGATATGAAGTTGATGGACTAGTAAGTGTTTGTTTTGATTGACTTGTGTTTGTTTTGACAAACCACTAGGATTCTTAAAAGATTTGGGCTTATCACGCTCATAATACTCGTTAGGGGTGAACTACGTCTGAGGCTACTGGCTTATTAGTAAGATTACGTTTTGTCATTTTATTTTTAAAAATTACATTTTCGTCACTGAACTAATCGTTCATATAATCTCAATTACTGTATCGTTAACTTCTAACGGAATGTTGAGGTGGCCGTTAAACAATTGGCATCATGACATATTTAGTCCTCCATGTTTACACATTTTGTCAGTTTGGTCATGCTTATAATAAAATTACCCACAATACTTTTATAGTTTTTCAATTTTGTCCTAAAAAAATTAAACAAAACTACCTTTCATTTCACGACATTAACAAATTCCTCCAACCAAACATATATATATATAATTTTTAGTTTTACACCTTTTTTTTATAGTTAGTTGAGTAGAAATAGACGATGAAGATTATTTCCTTATTTTTTTCAATGAATATTTTTTATTTCTCACTATTAATCTTAGTCGTATGTTTTCACTCATATAATGATTATGAAAAGATGTAAAACTGTTAGAAATATAATATAATATAATGTAATTAGTTGGTATTGAGTTAGTCAAAGTTAACTGAGTTTGTTAAAGGTTGGTTAGTTTGTTAGATCAAGTTGTTAAACTTGGTTTAGTGGTGCTGTATAAGTGATGTTAGTAATGGGTTAAAGACTCAAGCATTTTGTAATTCATTTATTCACATTTAGTAAACAGAGTTGCCTCTTTCACAGCTTTTCATCTTCATTCACTGTCATTTACCTTCCTTCATCTTCTGGTTATTATGTCTCCTTTCTCCCATGGTATCATTCGCTAAAAAGATTCTGACATCATTTTTCCCCTCTGTTGCACCATCAGACTCCTTTCTCTCACGCAGTTGCTGCCATAGTGAGATTGCTATTCCACCGTCGTTGACAGTGATGTTGTTTCGATCATTAAGTGCCACTCTTGCATCAACGAGCTACTTTATTCTTCCTTGACATCGATTTTTCCGTCGGCAGTTTCGAATGTGAATCAGTTTCACCGTCTGAATTCATCTTTTGATGAGTGTGACTGGTGATGTGTTCTTAGTTTTTTGGCTTGATTAATATCTGATTTTCGTTCTTGATAGTGTGGTTTCATCAACTGTTTACCAATGGTTGGTGCTGTTATAGTTTCCCACGCTATCTGTCACTTTGATTCTTGGTTGTTCTGCGCTTCTCTGCTTCAATTGAGCTTGCTGAATAATCATGCATTTTGAGTGATTCAATTGATCCTCTAGTGTTTGGTAAGTGACAAGGAAATTGTAGTTTTTTTTTTGTGTGCATGCCTCCAATGTGTTCGACTAAATGCTTCAATGATGTTACTGTGAGTCCAATTCTTTGCTGTCGTTGAGGACAAGTTTTGTTATGTGTTGCATTGCTGGTTGGAAACTAGTGTTGTAAGTTGATGTTGAATAATGGCCATTGGTATGATGTTGCTTTGCTCAGCTATTGACATTTTAGTTTCTACAGTGACTGTTATTTCTTCTCCAAAGTCTGACATGGAACTTGAAAGCTTAACAACTAAGTTACCATAGAAGAAAATATATGGGGAGAGTCAAGTATTTAACAGCCTTGTTCTCCTTAACCAGACAAAATAGGGTGTTTTCTTGCTCAAGAGAAGCTTCAGATTACACTCGGGAGCTTGTAGCTTAACAACCTTGCTTCCAATAAAAAGATTGACCGAATAAGTGAAGAAGAATTACAGTAAAGATGAAGAACAAGGGGGGGAAACTGTTAAAGAAAATAGAGATGAAGAAAGCTTCTTTCAACTAAAAAAAATTGTTCAATGTACATGAATTCTAGCTCACAGTTCTAACTCTCTAGGCTTGCAACATTGTTCTATCAACTTTCAAGAAGGGCGAAGAAGCAAGGTGAATAAAGGAAAAAGAAGAAGAAGACATTATTTTCTTTTGGATGCCATGCTAATTATTCCCCCCCCCCCAAGAAGATCAAGAAGAAGAGGCAGGAGTAATGTTAGAAATATAATATAATAGAATGTAATTAGTTGGTATTGAGTTAGTCAAAGTTAACTGAGTTTGTTAAAGGTTGGTTAGTTTGTTAGATCAAGTTGTTAAACTTGGTTTAGTGGTGCTGTATAAGTGATGTTAGTAATGGGTTAAAGACTCAAGCATTTTGTAATTCATTTATTCACATTTAGTATACAGAGTTGCCTCTTTCACAGCTTCTCATCTTCATTCACTGTCATTTACCTTCCTTCATCTTCTGGTTATTATGTCTCCTTTCCCACAAAAACTAAAAAGTTTTACGCAATATAAATGGATTATGTCCCTCTATGTATATTGATTATAACTATTGATACAATTTATCATAACATAAATATGAAATATTTATTCTATTATTCTAATATATAAATAATCTAAATAAGATTATGATATAAAATATACAACGGATTCATGAATTATATAAAAAAAATAAAAAAGACTTAGCTGAATTGTGTGCAGAAATTTGATCAATGGAGACAAAAGTTTGAATTTTTATAACAAAGATTCTAATCAATGTTTGGTGAAGAGTGATTATGATGACCTAATTAACAAATAAAATTCAAATCTCACTTTCACAGCTCATTTGGGCTTAACATCATTATAAACCGATAGATCATTAATAAATAATACAAATACAAATATGATTTAATACCTAGAATGACCATTCTACTTCACTAAAATTTCCATTTTGTAACTTTTATTATTTATTATATTAGTTTAACCCCTCAATTTTCATTTTTGTCTATACTACTCGTTTTTAGACATTTTTATTTAAAATTTGATGATGTAACCTAATCAAGTTTTATCACCTGTAAAAACAAGTGAAAATATAAAAATTTTCTCAAAGTTCAGAATTTAATTAAAAGAGCTTAAAAATAGTTTTTTTTTACTTCATTCTATTTGTAGAATTTTTATATTTTATAAAGCTTTTATAATTTTTTAAAATATTAAGCATAGTTGTAATTATTTCTTAGATTTTTATGATTTTATTTATATTCTAAAATTTTAAAATATAAATAGTATAAAAACATAAAAAATACAAACAAAAACTTAAAAAATATTTAAAATCCAGAATTTAATAAAAATAAAAATAAAATATTATGATTTTATAAATTTATATTTTAAAATAAAGTAAATATATAAATTCAAAAAATATAAATACTAATTTTATACAAATTTATAATTTTATAAATTTTAGCGAAGTTTAAGTTTTATTATAAAAAAAACCACATGATAAAATCTGATTTTACTACGTAATATATTTTTGTCTGAAAATGTCTATAGACTAATGGTGGTAATAGAATGAAAGTTTAAAAGTTAAACTGATAAAAAAAACCAATAAAAGAGATAAAATAAATTTCAGTAAAGTAGAAGAGTTTAATTCAATAAATATTATAGATAACTTATATTACTTAATTTAAAGGATATAATGGTAATGAAGGTTTTTTTATTTACAATCGAATTTAATTGATTATAGTATATGATTAATTGTTTTTCAATAATATGTAATGATTTTAAGATAGTACATTTTTATTATTTATTTTAGCTATTAACAACGCACCCACAATTGTTTGAATTTGGGACCAGACTCATTTTTTGAGATTTTGATGGACTTAGAACCAACATAAAAATTGGGCATCCAAGAAAATATTGATAAAAATAAATTATACGAGTAACCAAAAATAAAATAATTTACTTTTAAATTATATTTTTATTACATTTAATAAACTATTTAATAAATACATTGTATTTTGAATATAAAACATCAAGAAATTTTATTGAACACCCAACTACTCACACAAAACAAACACGACCATATTTTAAGAGAGTTATAGCTCGATTTCAATCATCTTCATCCCATAAAGAACAACTACATGAAATTGAATAAATAATTTAAAAATGCAAAGTCAATACTGTGGTTGAATTTTTAATGACAGATAGTCAAAAGAGAAACAAAATGTAACATTAAGTATGATTTAAAAATAATAAATAGATGACCAAAATAGAAATAAAGTAATGCATGAGTAATTAAATAGGTAATTTATCTTTTTATAATTATACATAGACTTCTAAATTTTTGGTTTGGGCAGGTATTCCTTTTGTCCAAACTCAGATACAAACCTTGACCTATAGCAAAAATAACACTTTCTTCTGTTATTGAGGTCTTTCAATAAGTCCAATTAATATTTTTACGGTGAACTAATTATTTATTTAAATTTTGATTAAAGACATAAGAAGATATCATAATATTAAATAATTATTGTACTTTAAATTAATATAAATATTCTTATACTTTTTTTTTATATATATATAAAAAAAGTGGGGATCACGTACATCTTCATCTTATCTTTTTGCACAACTCACGCAAACTAAGTTTGAGCCTTTTAAGGCTTTACCTTTAATGGCAAAATTAAAGCAAGCAACCATATTTACACATTTCCTCTTATATTTTTCATGCATTGTGATTAGTTTTTTGTTTTGTTTCTTATAATTATTTCACAAATTATAATTTTTTTATTAACATAATCCAAATTATATTAGTTTTAGTAGGAATCACATGCCACTTACTTGTTTGCATGAAGTTTTTACGTATCAAAAGTAGGTCAAATTCTTTTATTAGTCTATTTATTATGTTATATTTGTGGATTCCGTCATTTTTAATTTATATATATATATATTTAAAAAAATTGATACTTTGGTTTTAATCTATATGATTATGTTAAGTCAAATTATATTATTAGTCTGTGTAATATGTGTAGATTGTAGATTCAATTCATGTTCTATAATTTAATTATTTTAAGTTATTATAATTTAATCATATTATCTCATACTTTTTGGATCAGAATTGAAATTTATTTCTTTGAAAAAGACAAATTAAATTTTATTAAGTTAAGAGTATAGAGACTAAAGCTATAACTCTAACAAAGTACAAATACTAATAGCATGATCTGAGTTAATGGTATCATTTGGTGAAAAATGGCCATTGCTCCTCTGAATGTAGTTTGATAAAGTTTGAGGTATAATCATTGTATTTAAAAAGGTAAAAAAATAAATCTACTTTAAAAAATTATTTTAATTGTTAACTATATTAATAGGTTTATTGAATTTATAATGATTTTTTTCTTCTAATAACTCGTATCTAATAGATTTCGATTATATCAAATTTGATCGAGTCAAATTTTTGTTTTAAAAATTAAGATTTGAGTGGAGTCGGATTTCAATTTAAGGTGAAAAATTTGATCCGATCTAATTCGACACAACATAATATTATAATTATACTTATATATAAGGAGATAATTACAATAATACTCATTTTTATTTGAACTTTTTATTAAATCCTTATTTAAAAGATTTAAATCAAATTCAAATATATCAAAAATCTAACCCGACCAATCTATTACATCTCTAATAAAAATTGCACCAAAATACTCTCTAATCTTAATTAATTGACCAACGAAAGCTAATAAAATCTTAAAATTATGTATTTTAACCCAAAGTGGTGCTCATTGCAAAATCCAAAAGTTCAAGCACCTTCCCTCATTAACACCCATATGCTTCATCTTCTTCTTCTATTTTGTCCTTGTTCCTCCTCATGGAAACTTGAAAAGGAAACCCTTTTCTCAGGGGAGTGGGGACCTTACTCTTTACTAGGCTCCAAAAACTCTGCAAAAAAACAGTTCTTTTAAGAACTCATTGGAGATTCCCATCGTTGTTTCTTTGAAGTAATGATCTCTGGGTATTCTTTGCACTTGCAATATCCTTGATAACAAGAAAATGAGTCAACTCGGCGTGTTATTTTGCAGGTAGAGAGGGAAGCAACAATAAAAGAACAATGGACGGAGTGGATAGGGAAAGGAGGAGGAGTTTCAAAGAGCGGCTGGGATTTAGAGTCATGGGCTGTTGCCGGTCCAACTGGGGATTCCGGTCAACCACCATAAGTCTCAGGGACGAAGATGAGGTTGAAGACGACATAGAAGAACCAGAACAAGAGCCAGTTCCTAATCCGGACCCGGGTTGCGTCAACCCGGCTCCGTTTTCTTCAGGCATGAACCTAGCTGCGGCTCTAGCAGCCGAACGACATTTCCGGGCATCGCATGAACCTCAGAGGACTCCAACGAGTAATGTGGGATATAGATTGACGGGGAAGCCTCCGAGGGTGTTGTTGATGAGGCTGTTAGAGGAGGCGGACGGCGGCGACGCGGAAGAGGATGAGAAAGGGAGGAGCATGGAAATGGGGAATGATTCGATGTGCTGCGTGTGCATGGGGAGGAAGAAAGGTGCAGCGTTTATCCCATGTGGACACACTTTCTGCAGGGTTTGTTCGAGGGAACTGTGGCTGAATCGAGGGTCTTGTCCCCTCTGCAACCGTTCGATCCTCGAGATTCTTGACATTTTCTGAACATCCAACGGTGCTCCTCTCTTCTTGATGATGCTGGTGATGGTCAAAGGATGATCAATACTGAACGTGATGATGATGATGATGGTTGTGCCTCGAGATCATAAGATGTTGGAGAGCGAGAAAGAAAATAAATTAATTGTTCAAATTTCATAAAAGGTCCATGAATTATGTATTTTATTGTGATATTATCTATTTTTACCATTATTTGATCATTTGTAATCCTTTACCTTTCAAACATGATTTAAGGTAATTTTTTTATACAAATTCAGACACTAAATTCATTAGGGGTGAATTTATAAAATCTCAAGAAAGCAAAAACATATTTTTAATAAAAATATATAATTTTTTTAAAATATATGATAATTTTAAACTTTTAAAGGATGATTATCCCATCCACTCTCTATCCATCCTTAAGTACACTGTTAATCTTGTGATGAAACAATTGTTTTCTCGCATGATTTTTCTAGGAATTAGTCTAACTTAATATCTTTTATATAGTTGAACAATTATTATATATAATGTTTTACATTTTTGTCTTTCTTTTTTAAATGCAAAAATATTTATTTAATTGTAATTAATACAATACATATATATATATATATATATATATCTATCTAAAAAGTTAAGACATGAGAAATTGTTTGACATAATTTAAAAAAAAAATAGATTTCAATACTAAAGACGAGAGTTTTTTTTTATAAAATGAAATAACCAAATTTTAAAAGGTACTAAATACAAAAAAGTATACAATGTACGGCTATATTCTAAAATTTGACCAAATTATGTTTATGATAAGGAATATTTGGAACTACCCTTCATATTCTCTAGTATTTGAATAAAGTTTATTATCGCAAAAACACAGCAATTATCTGCTTAATTTTAATTTTAAGTAAAAGGGTTAAGATTTTATTAACCTACTTCCACCAATTGTATATATATATATATATATATATATATATATATATTTGTTATTGTATTAGCATATATAAAGTTGGATCTAGAAAATAACATATGATCTTATATTAAAGGGATGAATTCTAAAATTTTAAGAATATTCGAATTTCTAAAATTATAAGAATGAAAATAAATAATTAAATAATTTTTTTTTAAATATCTAAAATATATATTATTTTAAAAATTTTAAGATCGATTATCCCTAGGTAGACCAACAGTGATTCCTTCCTCGGTTGATGTAAATGGTAATAAACCTACAGCTACAGGTGGGCAAATAGCCACGGATTAATAGAGGGGTGGCATGCAAATCATATCTCGTAAAAATTTTAAAATATATTATTTAAATATTTTTATTAATAATTTAATTTATATTTTTAAAAATATTTTTTAAATAGTATGAAATAATTATAAAATCGTATCTATTTAAAATTATTTGAACCAATTAATAATGTACACGTCCTATAAAAATAACTGTTTGAAACCATGATCTATAAGAAAAGCAATATTCCCCACACCACTTAGGTTATTGATGAGTTTATATTTTTTAAAAATTATAATTTTATACTTTTTAATTTGTAATGTTATTTCTTAATATAAAATTATATGTATGTGCTTGCAAACATCCTGATAATAGTTGATGGATAGTAGATTCGAACATTTGATTCCGACATGTTCAGCTAGCAGGCTGAATGAATCTGTTTCAATGGACTTGGTCCATGTGGCCCAATGTGTATCATATATACACTTCCTTTTCACATCAATTTTGCTATTATCATTGTTTTGAAAAAGACTTGCAATTAAACTTATGTACATAAACAGATTACACTGTTTGAATCTGAATAATTAAATAAATAAAATTTATTTTAATTACTGAGACTACAACAAAAATTTGTTATAATACCATTATTGAATATAAAGATTATGTAAAATTTATTTTATGCTAGAAAAAAAGTAATTCGAGGAGTTAATGAAGGATTTATAAATATTTTTTAGGGTGAACATAAAAATATTATTGATATTTTATTTCCGTATGAAGTGGACACAAATAAATTTCATAATAGATATCATCAATAAAATTAAAAATTATATAAAAAATTCAAATTTCAATATAAGTATCTATCCACTTTGAATAACACTTGCATCCACCACTATTCAGGGCTATTCCTTGTAAAAAAAGAGAGCAAAGAATCTAAAGTTTTCGACAGTTCAACTTGTAGATTTGTCCATCAAGGCTTTGGTTTGCGTCCACGAAAGGATTTAAGAGAAACAAATAAAAAGAGAATTAGAGTTATATTTAAGAATGGATGGTCGGATTAAATCGAGTTTTTAGTCAATTCGAGTTAAATATTATAACTTCTTCATATGCCATTTGATGTAATTCAGATTTAGAGAGGTTCCAACTGATCTGAATCCAACTCAATCTTTGAGGTAAAATTCTACATCCAACCCGATTTGATACACACATATACAAAAAATTCATTTTTATTTAATAAAATGACCTAATTGAAAAAAATTATAAAAAATGTATTATTATAATTATCTTTAAATATATAAGAGATAATTCTAGGAATGAGTCAAGTCAGAGATCTTTTACTCTAAATCAATCCGATCCGATCTTATCCTTAAATAGATTCAATATAATCTGAGTTTATTTAAAAAGAGAAAAGAAAAGAAAACCTGAACTTATAAAATCAGGTCCGACCCGTCAGATTTTAAACCCATACCCAACCCTAATTATATGAACATGAAATGTTGGTAACGTAAAGTGATTGCATGCCACAAAACGAGGGATGACCAAAGGGCCCATCCCAACAGGGAAAAGCGGGCAACAGCACATCCACCATAGATGCGCACCAACTTCGTAGTATACATTATTAGTCTCTCCATAATATTATCTATTTATTTTAAGTCATTTCACTCTTTAGTTAAGTGGAAAATTGTACTTTTGACATTTCCTAAAGATTAATTCTTTAATTTAATCCCATTTAGAATATATATTTTTAGATACAATCCCTTTAAAATTTTATAATTTATCATGATTCATCCTTAATGGTTAAATGGAGTGTTATTCTTCTTATAGATCACGAGTTTAAGAAATTGCATCTATGGGTGTGCACGCGGGGTTGTCAATGGCTAAAAAAATTATAGACAAATATTTCCTTATAATCACACCCTAAATAATTTAAAATAAAAACTATTGTTTAGGGATTATTATTAATGACACCCTTTAAAAAAATAAAGTGGACATAATTATATTGGTACTTCAAAAATATTTTTTTAAGATTATCATGATATAAGTTCAACATTTGATAGAATAATGATCTTTGATGTTTACGAACGAAGCAAATTGGGTTGAGAGAGTTACCCTTATCTTTACAATATTAAATCTAGATTAATCGATTAATAAATCAAATACAGATAGTTATAAAGAAACATCTGATAAAATAATACGATTATGAGGGATCATAATGAGTTAGATTTTCGAAATGGATGTTTTGTAGCAACATGCAGTGTATTCGGTTTGCATCAGAAGCAGCAACTCAGTGCAAGTTATTATTGATGCAGGAAATCTCTTTCGTCTTTTACGTGAAGGTATTATTTCATCGTCATCATCGCCAAGGTTATCACTGTCGACATATACCGAAAGTTAGATGCCTTGTTTTGATTAAGTTTGGTAGTCCTTTGAAGTGACCAACACAATCTGATTTCATCATATATGTATTCACTTTGATAGCAAATCCTTCCATATTTTTATTTATTCATTGGTTTGAGATTTCTCGTTATCCAAAAATTGTAACGATTTAATTAAATAGAGTCGTACCATATTAAATTTTGTCTCGAAAATAAATTCTTCTGATCGTCAAAGTTTGAAATTGAGACTTTACTTAAGAGACATTAAAATCTTCTATCACTCATCAAATAGGTCTCGACCAGAGTCTTCTATTATTGATTTGCAGTTCGGGTGCATTATTGCTTTCCCTTTCCATTTATAGAAACCATAAGAGATTTATTTGGAAACCCTTGAAGAAGAACAGAACCTAATGCCACCAATTGGCAAATTAGGCATGTAGGTACTTGTTAAGATGCATTGATTTGTCGGATCCTAAGCCGTGAAAATATGGATAAAGTACTGAAATCAAACTCTTCTTCCATGCATTCATACTCATTGGCTGCATGCGTTCTCCCCCCCCCCCACCCCACTCCACCCCACCAAAAAAAAAGGGAAACAAATGCTACATTAATAAAGGGTTTAAGTATATAAGATTACCTAATTTAATAATAATGAATTTATTAGGTGGTCTTGATGGTTAAAATAGAATGTTATTATTTTATGAGGATCTGTGTTCAAGCGACTACATTTACAAGTTGTATATATTATTAGCGATGCAAATAATGGGAGGCTAACTTTAGGGAGTGTGTTACTGTAACATCCTCCATGTCGGGTGAGTGATTAATGTGCAAAGTTTCAACATTTGGTGATTAAAGTAGAATAATTATATAGTTTAAAATGTATGGTTAGTAAATATGAGATGGAGGTAAGGACCAAATGGTCATTTGTAAGGAATTTTAATTAAAATAAAATGTTATGGGGTTATATGAGACCCACGTGTGACATTAGGTTCCAGAACCCTCCCATTTCTTCTTCCTTCTTCCTTATTTTCTTCTCTTCCTTCTCTCAACGTGAAGCTTGCAAGTAAAGGTAAGAATCTGAACCTTGGTAATTTCTTTGATTTTTAAGATTGGAAATGAAAGTTTGGATGTTATATAAGCTAAAGGAAAGCTTATATGACATTAAAACAACAAGATAAGTGTTTTAGAGATAGATTTGGAAAATGAATTTTTAGATGAAATTTTGATAGGAATGAGTTTTTGAAGTTTGAATAAGATTTTTGACTTGTCAAGAAGCTAACTAAGAAGTATGAGGGGTTAGAATTCAAATTAGAACATATTGGAATTTGGGTTGGATTCTTAAATGCTATATGGAGAATTAGATTTCTAAGTGTTAGAGGTATTTAATGGATAATAATTAGTTAAAGTAAGTGTATGAAAGTTAAGAGTAGTAAAGAGAGTGAAATATGTATGTTTGAGCTGAAATGGGATGATTTCCGAGCTCAAATTAGGATTTTCGGGCTAGGGGAATCGGTACCCATTCAAGGGGAACCGATACCCCCTCAACGAATATGATTTCCATAATGCTAG